AGGTTGATGACAACAAGAAACTAGGGGAATGGGTAGGCCTCTGTAAAATTGACAGAGAGGGAAAACCCCGTAAAGTGGTTGGTTGCAGTTGTGTGGTGGTTAAGGTAAGTCAGTACTTATTTCTGGGGTGAAAGTTGTGTTGGGAGCTGCATAATTCTGTGCAGAATTCTAATTTTTCAGGAAGTTGGGAATGTCCTAAGAAATGTGTGATTTTCAACATTTGAAAATCTCCTTTTCTGCCTTTGAGTAGAGGATAGGCTGTAATTAAGCCAGCCAATTAATCTGCTTACTTGAATGTGTTTCTGCAGAAATTGAGAAAACGCTGGCAATAGGAATGCCATGTTACGAGCCTTAAAGACCTTGAAGTCCTTAAGGTCCCTGAAAATGGCTATAAGAAATTTTAATGATGGAAACACTTTCATAAGACAAGTAATTTTGTAAAGCTTCAATATAACTAGTGCTAACAACTTGGTAGAGTTTGTAAATCTTAATTTAAAATCTTTTTAAATTATTTTTTAGGACTATGGCAAAGAGTCTCAGGCAAAGGATGTCATCGAGGAATACTTCAAGTGCAAGAAATGAACAAATAAACTTGGTTCTTGTTCCACACCTGTTTTTTTGTTTTTTTTTTTTTAATTTGGAGCAATAGAATAAGGTCCCTGTTAGCAACAGAGAAAAGATAATCATTGTAGAATTAGCAAAATAACTGGAAATCTATTTGTCTCCTCCTGGTTTCTAAATGAAAGCCTACTCTAATGGGTCAGTGACTAAAGTGTTAGCAACTGAAAACAGGATGACCTAAGTAAGGATAGCCTTATAGTGATTGACAGCCAGCATTTCTTACGTGTGCTATTGGTCACAATGAAGACTAGACAGCCCTAGGACCTGGAGAAATGGGCCAAGGCTAGTCATGGTGTGGGTGTTAACTTTGTAATCCTGCAGCTTGATGGCAGGTTGAAAAAGCTGAACAAGTTGATCAAAGAAAAGTACAAAGGTGGTCAGGTTTGGATTTAGGCTGTGGGACACACAGGATGTCCAGATGTGCATATGGATGTACCCATTGGAAAAGGTCAGCGTGTCCGTGGCTTTTGTTAACCCTTGGTGTTACTTAAGTGTTAAGTGTGGAAGCAGGATATGCTTCAGTATACTCAAGTCTCAATCTCCATAGGGAGAGTCAGTGATGACCCATGTATTTCAGGCCTGGGCCAAGTTGGTGCAAGCATGAATTAGGATTAATGGAAATGTTACAGTCCAAATCCTTGCTAAATTGCTGGAGCTAGGGGATACTTTGAATTTCTCTACCTAGTTTCCTAGTACTGCTGTATAGTTATGGGGGCACATGAAGCTAAATGGGAGCCAGATCTGGTTTTGAATGCTCACTTGTATTTTTTTTTTTTGTATGTTGAGAATTTATAGGTTTAAGCCTTTTCTAAAGCTTGCTTTTAGGTAATGTAGCAACCTTTTAGATAATGTAGCAACCTCTAGTATCACTAAGGGCTGCTTGTTCTCTGCATGGTACCTACTGTGGAGTGAATGGCCTCAAAAGCCCTAAAGCTAATGTAGTTCATAAAGCCTTAAGGATAGTGTCCTTAGATAGTGTACCCTGGGGTCCATCTGCTACCATTAAATGTAAACCCAAGCTATCTGGCATTTCTAAGGAAAGGACTTCTATTTGCTTTGAAATCTGGTTTATATCAACATCTATGAAGCAAACAGTTGAGTCCTAGTGTATGTGGCACTGTTTGAGCTGTTGATGCAGTAGCCAAGACCTTCTTTTCTAACATTGTCTTAGGTTTGACAGTTTGGGAATTCTGTAGCTTGTGCTAGGGAGGATGGCGGAGTACAGCACTGCATTTCCATTTTTTCACTCAGGCTTCTTTTGAGATTAGTGTTTTGGGAAAACCGAAGCCGAACTGAATATTAACCTTCCACCTTGACTTAGATAGCATTGGGTATTTTTTGGTATTTGCATATCCACTGACCCCTCAGGTGGAAAGCCTACTCATTGCTGTGGCTGTTCCTCAAAATACTACTCAAGATGGTTTCTATCCTCATTTGCTTTTGTTATTTTGGCTTTTGTCCTCTTAAATGTCCGTGTGGTCACCAAGACCTTTATGGTCAAATTCAATAACTTCACAGCCTTTTTCTCTTACCCTCTTGCATTTTCTAGAATAACTTCTGTCCATACTTGAACACTATGCCACACTTCCTCTTTGGTCCCTTATCCCTTTCCACTAGAACTACAGTTCTGCTGTGGCCCTATTTCTGTGCAGCCTTCCTGGGACCTTTCCTGTAGCTTCTGCCCTGGATTCCTTTTTTCTAAATCTGAGTTCTGTTTTAGTTTTGGTCCATTCTAGACAAATGGTGTGCACTAGGGAGCACCCTGTGAACACTCACTTGTACCTCAACTTTTGTATACCTCAAACTGAACTTGATCATAAAATGTGGTCAGTTAGAAGTAAGTAGTTACTGAGTATCTAGTGTATCAGGCTTTGCACCAAGCATTTACCAGTTTTCAAGGCGGAGACGTCAGGCGTCCTCTGCTTCTGCTCTTTATGTTGTATAGTCATCACAGACTTCGTGGACTGCAGTAGCTGCTCAACTAACTTTAACGCTGTTGAGTGACTGCTCACTTTGACTTAGCATCCACGCTGCTTTCATGGTAGCTCTCTGAGCTCATTCTGCCTGAACTGCAATTTTCTCTGGCAGTCTACTTATCTTTCAAAACCCAGTTCGAATGTAACTTCAACCTTAAGATTGTGATTGGTCTGTATAGCTTATATGGGATTCACAAGGCAGCTCATCCATGCTAAAGTGCTAAGGCCGAAGCAGGTGTCCTTTTTTACTGGGAAAATGATAGTTTTGTGAAACCAGTTGCTGTGTGCACTCATTGAGGACTTCCCTCATGGACCCAAACATACCTGAGCCAAGCACTATACTGTTCTCTTGCTCCTATGGTCAGTGAGACTTGGGCATTCCTGTTCACTTTGGCTGTAAGAAGCCTCCAAGCCAAATACTCCGTTTTCTTTGTCCTTAACTCTATTATTACTTTGTAAATTTTTGCTTGGTCCTGGTTTTATTAAAATTTCTGTTACATGTGTTTTTGGTAAGCCACTTTAAATGGCTTTTTAAAAAAAAAAAAAACCCAGGACATCCATAGTGGAATAATGACGGGTGTATTAAGTTGGTGTCTGTTAACAGGAATTCGTTCATTTTTAACTGGGTTATAGAGGCAACGGAACCATTGTGTAGGCAGAGTTTTAGATGGTTCAAGGGATATGTTCAAATAAGCTTTTAATGCCTCTTGATGTACTCCTGAGACCCACAGAGAAGGAAGGTGAGGATATTTAGCCAAGGAAGGGAAATAGGATCACAGTTTTCATCACTCCATGTGGATGATAGGACGGGCTGAGAGGGCTAAGGCGTTGTCTTCCCAGTCCTCAGAAAGCTCAATCCACAAGCCAGAACTTCCAGGCAGTTAAGTTCCGGCAAGACCAATGGAGGCATCATGGCCTGGCTGAGGAGGTGTCCAAGATGGTGGCTGCCAGGCTCTCTCAGAGAACCTATTGGGTGAAGTGTGACTCATTGCTGGTTGCCAGGTGCTGGGGGCAGAGGGGTGATGGAGGTCAAAGTTGAAGATTAATCTTCCAGAGAGTGGTCAGGCATTTGGGACTTGGGCTACATATTAATGCATCAGAGTGTCCAGAAGGATTCAGATTGATGTTCATTCCCCAGGGGGAAAAGTTTTGCGTCCTTTTAAAAAAACAGGCTTATGCTTCAAATAGCACAAGCACACCTAAATTCAAACTGTATCACCAGCAAGGTGTTTCAGTCAACTGTTTAAACCCTGCACTACCTAACCACAGTCTGCTGATTGAGGTTGCATTACAATCTGGCTTTTGCTTGGAAAGGCTTAGAAATGAGGGAGGAAGGTGATCCTGAGGATTCTTTACACAAAAGGGGCAATTTTCTAAGCTTTTTCCTGGTTTGCATGAAGCATTCCTTAAGAGTATCCCTCTGCTTTTATTCTTTGACTCCATAGTCCCCATCATCACTGCATTCCTAAATTGGTTTCCGCAGCAAATTAGGTTTGGACAGGGAAAGTGCCGAAGAGGAGAGAGAGAAGTACTTCTATAGGTAGAAAATCTCTTTCAAGTCTCTTTATGAACTAAACTGGGTTGTGAAATATGTGAAGGTGGAGAGACTGGTGATCATCCCGTGGCCCTGCCAATCCAAGAGGTTCTGTTAACTACTCAGTTTTTGATGATAAAGGAAAAAAAATTGTACAGCATCAATTCAGAATGCCCTTAGTTAAGAGCACACATTTATTGACGGATTGCAAGGGAAAGCATGATTATAGCTATTAATATATCACAGGGCTATGAGAATATACTTTTTGGCATTAAAGTAGGAGAATGATTAAAATGTACAATTACATAATGGGATATTATGGTGCCTAAAAAACGGACAATATGAAGGACATTTGTTCATATACTTTTAAAGCAATATTCAAAATGTACAATAGGACCATATTTTGTAAAAAAAATAAGGATATACATCAAGGTTTTAGTGGTTTCTGAGAAGGTGGGTTTTTTGGTTTACCTTTTGCTTATTTTTTCTTCAACATGTATTGCTTTTGTAGTAAGAAAACATATTTAAAGAAACGAGATAATGGTATAGGGCTCTCTTTGGGTTAATATTAAGTACTACTAATATAAAAATTAAAAAAAATAATGTTTTGTGAACAAGTGCATTTATTTACTTGTCTACTAAAATAGCAGTTGGTTGGGGTGCCTGGGTGGCTCAGTTAAGCGTCTGCCTTCAGCTCAGGTCATGATCCCAGGGTCCTGGGATCGAGCCCCGCATCGGGCTCCCTGCTCGGTGGGAAGCCTGCTTCTCCCTCTCCCACTCCTCCTGCTTGTGTTCCCTCTCTCGCTCTCTCTGTCAAAAAATAAATAAAAATCTTAAAAAAAAAATAGCAGTTGGTTAAAACACAAGTTTAAAAAGGCTGAACTCCGGGCGCCTGGGTGGCTCAGTTGTTGAGCCTTTGCGTTCAGCTCAGGTCATGATCCCAGGCTCCTGGGATTGAGCCCCTCATGGGCTCCCTGCTTGGCGGGAAGCCTGCTTCTCCCTCTCCCGCTCCCCCTGCTTGTGTGCTTGTGTTCCTGCTCTCGCTATCTCTCTAATAAATAAAATCTTGAAAAAAAAAAAAAAAAGGCTGAACTCAGATTTAACCAGCAGAGGGCAGTAAGAAGCTGGTACCTGGTGAGGGACCTATCCAAAAACAAGCACTAATACAGTTCTCCCTCCCACAGCACATACACTAAAATTGGAGCAATGCAGAAAAGATTAGCGTGGCCGCTGCGCAAGAATGCCATGCAGATTCGTGAAGCAGCACTAACTACAGCAGGCTCCCCGTAGGAAAAGCGTCTCCTCCCACCCGGAAGTAAGATTATTGGGCTTTAGTTTACTACTTCTAGCAGCATTTTTTTTTTTCCCCCTGATATTGCCGAATCCAGGATCCCAAGCTGGTGAGGTGGTTTCATTATGTGCCAGGAGGCTGTCAGTAGGGGTGACTGTGGTTATTCTATATACAACTAAGACATTGAAACTGCAACACATTCCTAGAGAAAAAGGTTTGGGTCCATAATTGTATGCTTCTGTTAGACTCCTTCTCTTCCTCCACACTGAGATTTGTCTAGAGCTACCTGAAGGCCAGAAGATTTCAGAGCAGGCCAATTTTGGAGAATGGGCATAATTTGGAGTGTATCAAGGTAACATGTATTTTGGACATTACAGTCCACACTGTAACTCCGTGGAAGCATTGACTTTGTTCCATGCAGTGTTTTCCAGTGCCTTGTATAGTGCTTGGTGTGCTAGGCACTCAAGAGATTTTCTGTTGGATAAACAAGAGTTGACCTGCCTATCTATCTGGTAAGTTAGCTAGTTAATTTGTGGGTTTTCTTCTCAGGCTTAAACTCCCCAGCTTCTTTTGACACTTCAATCTCTCATGTTCCTTTTTTTTCTGGCAACAACAGTGAATCTCTCAAGCTGGGCCTCTTTTAGACTAGAATGGTGCCAAGCTCTCGCAGCCTCCCTTCACTCCAGCTCCACTCTAGGGAGCAGGGCAGAGAAATGTATCCTATCACAATATGGGGTACAGAGCTCTAAGAGTCTGAAAAATCATTTTAAAAGCCACTTTGAGACCTGGGAACAGTAAAAAGCACGTGAATTCAGTGAAACTATTTTTACATTGCAATAATTTCTTTTTGAAGCCTATTTATTAAGACACATGCCAACAGCACAGTATCGTACAAGTGATGTGAATTAAACCTTACACAAATGTAGTATTTGTCTTTTTATTTTTCCTTCTCTCAACTGCCCCCAACTAAAATTTACAAATGGATATAAAAATCCTGTTTGTACCTGGTTGGCTTGTTAGCGAAATACAGAGTGAAAGGCCTGTGATATTTCACAGTGCTGCCACCAGATTAAAAGGAACAAAATGCACATAAATAAATATGATATTCATAAGGGGAAAATAAAATATTAACATACAAAAGGCTACAAATTAAAAGCCCTGTCTTCGCTTTTGGATTTGATGCTCGAATATACTTGGTGAGTTCCAGGGGTCAGCAGATGTTTTGCTAAGTGGGTGCATGTTGTGTCTTGCTGGGGTGCTTACCCACTCGTGGTTTATAAAATGATGCAGTTATGCTGTTATTTCAGGAGGGACCACATGTATAATTTTAAAGAAGAAATACCCTTTTCTACCCCCACCCACAAGCTGCATTTTGGAAGGCAGCTATGCTCACTATACTCCCAACCACGCCACCAGCTGCATTTTGATACCCAGTTCAAAATTTTGTATTCTAAATTTCTTTCATGTAAAGAATCTAGAAACTTTACTCTAAAGCATGGAAATGATAACATGCATAATGTGAACCATGCAGAAGCAGAATTGGGAGTCCTGTATGGACAGGAATCAATGTATAGTAAATCTTTAAGATTTTTAAGTAATTGTGATCAAGGCATAAAGATCCTCCTTGTTAGGACCTTGATTGTGGCCTACTGTTGTCATGGGAGGCCGGCTCATTCAAAGCATTCCAGGGAGTGTGGCAGCCATCTGCAGCACTGGGTAGAATGCAGGACAGATGTAGATGTGGCTAATGGTCAGTGGCAGCCTGCAACTATCGTGTTGGGTGGCAGTAAAAATCAAACAGGTAAGAAATGAGTTGGTCTTCTAGTAAAACCACTGAGTGCATTTCTCCTGTCATGACTTGAGAACAATGGGCAACGGTTCCTTTAATGAAGCAGAAACTTGTCTGACCAATGAGTCCCAGGACTTTCTAGTCATGACAATTTGGAAGTAAGTGTTCAGTTCATTTGTGGCAAATAAAGGTGACGTTTTAAAAGCAAGCTTTTATTTCTGGGGCCTGGGGGTTAGAGAAGAAGAGGAAGGAGGGGGAGGAATGGGGGAAAAGATATAGAAAATGGGAGAGGGAGTTGTGGGGACCAAGGGCAGACTGCCCCAACATGGGACACTTTGGCATGAAGATTATTTTTGAGTTAAAGGCAATCAAAACCTAGTAGATTCAGGAAAAGTTCTTAACTTCCTCCACAATTGTCTAAAAAGAATGTATTCATTTTTTAAAAAAAAATTTTATTCATTTTAGAGAGAGAGGGGGAGAAAGAGCAAGCATGAGCAGGGATGGGTAGAGTGGGAGGGAGATGGAGAAAGAATCTGAAGCAGACTCTGCACTGAGCATGAGCCCCATGCAGGGTTTGATCCTACGACTGCAAGATCATGACCTGAGCTAAAACCAAGAGTCTGACGGGCAACCAACTGAGCCACCCTGGTGCCCCTAAAAAGAATCTAGATGGAGGACTTGTTCCAGAAAGAGAGCTATCACCACAGATAACTACATTATAATGGGAACTAGGTGTAGTAGACAGGGGGGAGCCTAGCAAGACCTGTTTGATCAGGGTCCTTGGTGTCCCATTGTTTCTGAGTGGCCCAACAAACATTTGTTTACCAAACATTCACTCTTTTTCATTTTCTTGTGAATTGCATCCCATCCCTTTGAAGTCCCAGACCCCTACACCCTTCTCTTTAAGTTCAGAATGACATATATACCTCATTTTGCCTGTCTTTGGAATTTCCATGTCTGTGTGGATTCCCTGTACATATGAAATGAAAATTTATTTTCTCTTGTTAACCTGATTTTGTTTAATTTGATTCTTAGTCCAGCTGAAAGGACCTTGAAGGGCAGAGGAAATTCTTCCTCCTAGACGGAATAAGGAGGTAGGGAGACAGACAAGAAGAAGAAGGAGGAGGGGGAGGAAAAGGAGAAGAAGAAAGGGAAGGAGGAGAAGAAGAAAGAGGAGGGGGAGGAAAAGGAGAAGAAGAAAGGGAAGGAGGAGAAGAAGAAAGAGGAGGAGGGGGAAGGAGAAGAAGAAGAGGAAGAAGGAGGAGAGGAAGGAGGGAGAGGAGGAAGGCAGAGGGGAGAAAGGCAGGGAGGGAGGCAGAGGGAGAGAAGTGTATGTTTATGTATAATTTATATATAAATTAGTAGAAAGAATTTATTTACTCCACACATTATTTTCCTCAGTTAAAAAAATGAATATCAACATTTGCCTTTGATTTTGGAAGGTCAGCTATCACTTAATGTTATAAATCATTAGTTGAAACTGCGTATAAATGAGTTGCAGATCAGCTGACCAGTTCCACCTTTCTTGCGTTGGCTAGAACTCCGGTAGTTGTTTTCCCTGGTGATCACAGTCTCAACTGCAGTGGTGTTTTATTGAAATGAAAGTGCTCATAATCATTGCCAGTCCCCAGACTTGTGCTTGTGTGCTAAAAATTTTTCTCTGAGCAGCAAAATAAAAAGTTATATCCTACGTATATAGGTTAACTCTATCTTCCTCGTAAGGCATTGAAATTTGGAGATTAACAGCCAGTTTGGATGAAAGAAGCAAACTCTTATTCAAGTAAAAAATATATTTAATAACATTTATATTGCTTTAACTAAACTGGAACACAAATAACCAAGCAAAATCCTCCCAACATACAAATAACATGGAATCAAAACAAAATTGAGTGTGTGGGTATGTAAACTGTGCCTTTTAGCCTTCTAATTCTGAATCTTTGATTATTGCCTTGATACCTTGATAATGAGAGTCAAACAACTGTGCAAAGAAATAACAGACCTTTATTTTATTCTATCATTTTGTCATTGTAGGAAATCCCCAAATTGCTTCATGTCTGATTTGAGTCCTTTGAAGAGGGTCTACCAGGAAGGGGCTCTTACATAATTCTAGGCTCTATCTTAGACTTAATCATTTAGTGAACATTTTTTTTTTTCTATTATACCTATCATGATCACCTCCTAAAGTTACCTTATTGCTAAATGATACAAATTTAGGGAATTTTAGTATTCTACACAATGACGCAAGTGATATTCTTTAATACTGTCATCTAAAGTAATCATAGCAATTGTGGTAAATTATTTTCTGACAGTCAGTAGTTACCTTGCCTCTGGTTGTGTTATGTCTTTGAAGTAGCTGTGGGCTGACCAAAATGTGACCTTGCTACTTTCTCCCTATATTTCTGGAGAAGTTGCTCTCTTTTGCGCATAAAGAATTGGGTCTGGAGTTCAGGCCTGAAGCGACAAAATTTTTCCCACTGTAGACTCTACGTGCAGTTAGAATCCAAATTTTTAAGATGGAAGGACCTGAGAAATGGTCTTGTTTGATTCCCTCATTTTCCAGCTGAGAAGACAGAGTCCCAAATCCCAGAACATGCCCCAAGAAGCCTTTGGCTGTGTGAATAAACCGAGAGATTATAGGATTTGTCAGTTTGTTGAAGATTAAAATATTCTGTACTTAATATATGTAGAAGGATTGTATTTGTAAATTGATGTGTGTAAGTGAAAAATATCAGTGATGAGAACCACAAACATACTATGAGTCCGTAAACACTTTTTAGAGCCTGAAAAAAAGTTAATGATGGCAATTTAGTTGGCTCCCACAAGAGGAATGTACAGATGTGGAAGAGTGTTTATACAAGACTAAAATGTACATGCATAAGCTTCCACAGGCCATCCTTTTGCAATGTTCAGCACTTGGAATTTGGCTATTCAGTATTTTCCTGATCTGCACTTGTTCCATATTATCCAGGCCAACAACATGATACAGAGTAGTGATGTCTCCTGAATTAGAGATCTACAACAGAGACCTTTGTGGGGCCCTCAGTACACAGGTGAACTAATAGGTTCAAAGATGTGTCTTTATTTTTTTTTTTTAAGATTTTTTATTTGTCAGAGAGAGAGAGAGCACAAGCAGGGGGAGCAGCAGGCAGAGAGAGAAGCAGACTTCCTGCTGAGCAAGGAGCCCGATGCGGGGCT